AATTCGTTTTTAAGGAGTTATGAAACCCTCAAATAAACGCATTAAACATTTTAGGTACGTTTTCAACAACAGATACGGTGACCAATCAAACTCTCTGGTGCCGATGTGGACTCAGCTCCGGGAGAACAGGTGAGGTTTGGTGCACACAGTTTTGGCAACACTACATGTCTATATTTGAGCTAAATGTTTCTGTATTTGGTATCCAACATAAAAGGCTGTGTGTCCTGACTCACTTCTGGGAGAACAGGTCTCTGCATTTATTATATACATACACTGAACAAAAATATAAACGCAACACTTTTGTTTTGCTCCCATTTTTCATGAGATGAACTCAAAGATCTAAAACATTTTCTATATACACAAAATAACCATTTCTCTCAAATATTGTTCACAAATCTGAAAAAATCTGTGATAGTGAGCACTTCTCCTTTGCCGAGATAATCCATCCCACCTCACAGGTGTGGCATATCAAGATGCTGATTAGACAGCATGATTATTGCACAGGTGTGCCTTAGGGTGGCCACAATAAAAGGCCACTCTGAAACGTGCAGTTTTGCTTTATTGGGGGGGTCTGGGGGGGTCCAAAGACCAGTCAGTATCTGGTGTGAGGGTTAGGGTTAGGGTAATGTTGTGAATCGAGTGGCCCATGGTGGTGGTGGGGTTATGGTATGGGCAGGTGTATGTTATGGACGATGAACACAGGTACCTCACACCAGATACTGACTGGTTTTCGGACCCCCCCAGACCCCCCCAATAAAGCAAAACTGCACGTTTCAGAGTGGCCTTTTATTGTGGCCAGCCTAAGGCACACCTGTGCAATAATCATGCTGTCTAATCAGCATCTTGATATGCCCGTGCAGCAGTGCTTCTCTCCTAGTAGCAGCACTATGATAGTGGTATATGAAGTAAACTGAGCATTTCTCATCAATATCCTAGAGTTCGCTGCTATTCTGATACAAGAGAGATGTCTTTTTATGTAAATGTGTGTCAAAAACGTACAGAAAAACTGACATCTTACAAGTAGGCCAGATATATAAATAGACATGTTGTTTAAAAAACCTTAATACGTGCCTCTCTCCTGGGTGCAGGGTAACCCACAGTAAACCAACATACATCAACATAGCAGCGCAAACACTACTAGACACTACTTAACTACAAAAACTGTGTTTTGAAGAACACATTGATACCAGCACACGTAGAAAAAATGTATTAACAAGTTACATTTCAAATCAACAATAGAGCTAACTTTGTGATTTGCATGTTGCTTCATCAGATGTTCTTTGTGTGCTTTAAATAATCTTAAATATACTTTAAAGTCACAATTAACACACAGTAGCAACTAGATACACACCTAACAATTCAAACAGCAGTGGAAGAAGAACTCAAACCTAGAAAAACTCTAGTCTGTCATTCAAAATGTTACTAAAGTAAAAGTGTATGTACTTATAGTCGTTCTCCTGCACCGCTGAGAATACAATAATGCATTTCCGTTACGGTGTATTAATTATAATGTCCTACAACAGAGTAGATATGTTCATAAGATAACACAGGCTTCCAACATATATATAGGGTTAATGATAATGTAATTAATAAATAGCATAAAGTAGATTTGTATTTCACCCTTCACAGCTCTTGAACTTGAGCTCTGCAGCTTTTGGTGATTCATAGTTTTGCTCAATATTTAATCATGGCAGATGTTTGTCTAACACGGGAGTATTTCTCCAGAGAGAAAGAGAAGACCCTCTCTCTACACTTTCTTCTGTAGCATCTTATCCGTTCAAAGTATTTCTAACGTTTCTAAGCAACTAGCAAACCTTTATATTCACCCCAGCTTTTTCTTTGAGGATTGTGAAATCGTCAGAAATCGATGTCTCCTCTCGCTGAAAAGTTCAGACTGGAGAACTTCAGGGTGTCCAGCGGTTCAATCAGTGTGTTGTCAGCAAGTGACTTTTATCTGATTCACATTTAAGCTAAATTGAAAAAATAAATTAAAAGCCACCACATGCATCGCATCTCAGCAACCTTCTGGGAAAAGGTTTAATAACTAATTGTATGGCGAATTGATTTTTCTCCCTTCTGTCTCCCCCATGCACTGCCCTCCGAAGGTGCAGAGGAGAAATGAGGAGGGGAGGGGGGGGACACACTTTCATTTAAAGGAGAATTAAATCACTGTCAGAGAGAATAAAGTGTGCGGTTTACATCCAATAATGTCATACATAAAGATGGAGACGATGTGGTGGAGCTGGCGTGCTTCAGAGCTATTATGCTACACCTGTTCCGGTCATTTCTCATCCTAACCTTTAGGATTGGGGAGTGAGCAATGAGTTTTCTTATTACGGCACAATGTCATTAATAACATGGCCTGTGGTTATTAATCCTGATCACCTGCTGTGGTGTGGGGGCCTCTCACACACACACACACACACACACACACACACACACACACACACACACACACACACACACACACACACACACACACACACACACACACACACACACGCGCACACTGCGAGTCAATCAGTCATTGCGCTCCCTCTGAGCATTAAATAATGTTTCTTCTTCCTTTCTCTGCACTTCATTTTTCGTGACCTCTCCTCAGTTTTTAGTTTTTCTTTCTCGTTTTATTATTCCCTATGTTTGTCCTCATGGGACCTACATTGTATGGCGTTTTATGTTATTGTTGTTTTGTATTTTTAATGTATTTGTTTGTATATTACACTCTGTCGTGTCTTTTCATAATTTTCCTGTAATTGTATTTATCTTTTTAACAGTAACCTAAAACACCGTTATACAATGAGTCAAATCCACGTTAAAGATCAGGTTTAGATGAACAGATAGTGATTAAACAGGTTGTTAAATGTTATAATGCCACATAAGATATATTTATTTTAGTTTTTTAAGCATCATTAGAGCAAGGAAGCTTTAAACATAACATTGGATCTGTGTAATCCAAGCTATTGACGGTCCCTAAGTGAAACAAAAAAAGGCATTTTAATTATTATTATCTCAAATGTATGCCGAATTCAAGAAGGAACCATGTTAACTAATACAATATATTTAGTTATATTGTAATATGTGTGTGATTTTTTCAAAACCAATTATAATCTTAAATTTAAACTTTGATTTGATGTTTTCTCCCGCCGCAGAACCCAACTTCGTCTCCTCCTACGATATCGGCAACTTCACGTACTTCTTCTTCCGTGAGAACGCGGTGGAGCACGACTGCGGCCGGACGGTGTTTTCCCGCGCAGGAAGAGTTTGTAAGAACGATATTGGCGGACGCTTCCTGCTGGAGGACACGTGGACGACCTTCATGAAGGCTCGACTGAACTGCTCTCGACCCGGAGAAATCCCCTTCAACTACAACGAGCTGCAGGGAACCTTTTACCTGCCGGAGCTCGAGCTGCTGTACGGCATCTTCACCACCAACGTGTGAGTTACAGACGCTCAATCAGTTCAATTTAAAGTGTAATATAACCCATTAGACAGGATGGGGATAAGTGGAATGGGACATAGTGAGAAACTAAAACTTGAAAATAGGGGCCAGACAATAAACAGGAAGTATTCATCATTCGATTTACTTACACATCTAGAATTGGAGAGTTTGTGTATCAAACAGAAACATTTACAAGCAGAAAAACGCCAAGAAAATACCCTGAAACGAATCTGCTTAATGGTGCAAAACATTAATTATATCACTCTAAACTTGTTTTTTTCAAATGTTAATGATATTATATAGCTAAAGGAAAGGGATGGTATAAATAAAATGCATTTCAGAGTAAATAAACTTGCAAAAGCCCCTGTCACACTGTCCCGAAATTGACACCCGATGGACACACGAATATGGAATTGTGAATTTGGCACGAAGATGGCCCCGAACCACACGAAGGCAACATTTAATTTTCTATTACATTTAAGACATACAACTGCAACGAAAGTAACAAAAACAATGATGTTAAAGTACTATGATACTGTACTGATATTTTCAGACTTTCTTCTTTACTTTCTCCGTCTTTATATGTAGAAGATAATTAAGTTTTCTCCGTCATGTTGTTTCCATAGCAACAACAACTTC